TGTACACCGAAATCCTTCGCCGAACTCCTTGGCTCCGCGGCCAGCCCAACGACGGGGTGCACGGTGAAGTACTGATGTTCAGCGTGTCACGGTGGCGGCCTCGGCGACACGCTATGCCTGGCAAGCGGATGGCGTGCGACTCTGCTCCACGGGGCGGCAGGCTGGGAAACGCTCGCGGAGCGTTGACGCCTGGGGTCTGCGACGTGGTTGGCGTGTCGCGCCGAAGCGTGGTGAGCCAGAACTGGCAGAGCGACACGCCAAGCCAGAGTTCCCGACCGTACACATCGAAGTCTTTTTCCAAACTACTTGTCTCCGTGGCTGGCCAAGCGACCTGGTGCATGCATCGAGGCCCTCCAAAGATCGACTCCCTAGGCGGCGGTACTCATGAAACCTACTCGCCTCGGAACCCGTACCTTCTGGTGTTCGTCAACGGGGGCGCAGTAAACTGGTGGGTGGGGGGAAACGTACGGTGGCAATTCAAGGGGGCCGTGTAGGGGCCATTCTGGGAGTGACGGATCGAAGAGTGCCGGCGCACAAAGCGCAAAAGGGGTCTTGTGCAAGGGGTCCGTTTCTATCGTGTTTACTCAGCGCCTCCTACTTCTCCTGCGTGCGCGTACCAAATGCCAAGCGCATTCACAAGAGCTCCTCACAAGGCGCAGAATTTCCCGCACAAGGCCTTGGCACAAGACTCGCGCGAGCACTCTTCCATTTAAGTCTCATGCACGTGTTCTGGCCCCCACGTCGCCGCCCGCCCGACACCTGCCGCACGGGGAAGCAGCACGAGAGCCCCCCGACCGCCTCACGGCGCAGCACCGCCGCCAGCGTGGCCGCCACCACGCCCACCAGCGCCACCACCGCGGCCACCCCTGCGGCAGGCACGTGCTCGGAGACCGGCGCAGACAGCAGGTGCCTTGCGGGGGAGGAGGCTCTTTCTCCTCGACCTGGTCCTCCCTCCTCCTCCTCCTTCGCACTCCTTCGTCTTCCTGCGTCCTCCTGCCTCCGTCATCCTCCTCCGTCATCCTCCTCTCCTCCTTCCTCATCCCTCATCCTCCTCCTTGTCCTCCTCCTCTTCCTCCTCCTCCTCCTCCTACTCCTCCTCCTCCGCTTCCGCCTCCTCCTTCGTCATCCTCCCTCGACCTCTTTCATCCTCCTCCTCCTCCTCTTCCTCTTCTCCCTCTACTGCCAGGAAGTTCCAGCTGCAGAAGCAGAGCGCAGAGCTCGTCGATCCCACAGGGTTGTTCGGCCTGGAGCTCCATTGCGATGTCTTGTGTTGTCGCCTCCTCCTCCTCCTCCTCCTCCTCCTCCTCCTCCTCCTCCTCCCCCACCCCTTCTCCTCATAAAGAACTCCTCCCTGCTGCAACCCCAGACGTGTCCGTAGGGCGGGCCAGGCGTTTCGCCTGCGACTCCCACCACGGTTGATCCTGATGCTTGAAATTTGCAACACGTTCACGGAGAAGGGCGGGTCGTCTTCAAAATGTGGCTCTCGCCCTAGCGTCGCGCTTCTTTTTTAAAGCTGTTCAAAAACTTCAAGGATTGAGGGCGTGCTGGTTTCAAAGGTGTGGCTCTCGCCTGAGCGCCGCGCGCACCTATTCGTTGTATATATGTGCGACAGATTTTTAAATTGAGGGCGGGCCGTTTCCAAAATGCGCCTTTCGCCGCAACGTTACGCACATGCGTCTAAAGTCTTGCAGCAATTTCAAGTATATAGTATAGAGGGCGAGTCGCTTTCAATGTGTGGCTCTCGCCTGAGCGCAGCGCACATTCACATTATCATTAGCTTCTAGCACGGATGGCGATTCCTTTTCGAAATGTGGCGCTCGCCTTTGCGCCTCGCACATTCGTTAAAAAATCCCACCACCCCTCTGGGCGTGAATGGTTTAGACCGTCACCTCCTTTAACTTTCTTTTCTTCGAATAGCAGCAAGAATTCTCCGAGGGACCCCCTTGCGGTGCTGAGTTGCGAAGGAATCTCGAGCGATGAGGCCGTGCCGACATACGCGAATATCAGCGACCTGATGTCGAAATACCCCTTGATAATGCTAAGCATCAGGCGAAACCGCCGCTCCGACATCCGCAAGTAGCGGCAAGACTGGTCTGAAGGACCCCCGTGTCGTGTAGTGCTAAATCGCGAAGAGGTCTCGGGCGAGAGCTCTGGCCAGGGCGTCTCGGAGTAAACTGCTAGGATGTATCGCGCGGGAGCGTTGTTGTTGTTGGTGGTGGTTGTGGTGGTGTTGCTGTTGTTCTTGGGGCCGGCTTAGGCGGTACCTCGAAAGCTCGAGCGTGAGCCTGACTTTCAAAATAGATTCAGCGCGGGCGTGGAATTGTTGTTTTTGAAGAAGAACGTAGACTATCAAATACTTATCGTTGTTGGACCCCCTACAGGCGCCCTGCGCCATGCTTTTGCATGCCACATGCGCCCATCATGCTGGCACCCACACTTGAGGGAACTAGTTGAAAAGTGGGCGACGTTCCCACACCAAGATATCCCGCCCAAGGAGGTCGAGCCAATATCCCTCCCTAGACACATTCCCTGATTCAGCTCGCACGACACATAAAAAACTCAATGCAACGATGGGGGCGGAGAGCACTTGAAAACAGAGGGTGCGAGCTTCAAGAGAGGGCCCCGAAAACTGATCGGTACAACCTCAAAAATGCCAGACGCAGGACTTCGGCCTGGCGCATTTTGAGCGCAATCTTGCGAAAGGTTGAAGCCGCCCGTGCCTCTTGGATCAGAGCGGGGGGGGGCATAGCATGACCCCCCAGGTCAGCGCGCGGGCGCCTTTTGGATTTGCCAGGGCCCCATTTTTGGACGCGCCCTGGTTCGCCCGGGTTCGCCAACAAGGGTTTTTGGACGGCCCCGCGGAGGCCCCCGACCGTCATTTTTGGACGACGCGTGCCGGTGGGCGATGGTGCTGTGCATGTCGGGATCCTCGATGCGCATGGCCTTGCCAGTCTGGGCGAGAGCATAGTGCACGCGAGGCCGCACATCTCTTCCGCGCTCGGCTTTGATTCCGTCGAAGATGCCCGCCGTGCGCATGTGTAACTTTATCCTGTAGTTCGCGCACGCGCGTTCCGCAGGCAATTCCGCGCGGCCGCGCGTTCGAGTCTTCGGAGGGTGGGGGGCGTAGGAGGAGGAGAACGAAAACAAAGATGGGGAAGAGGAACGGATGCGAGACAAATGTGGCACACAACCGAAGTGGCGCGCTCAAATTCGCCCCGGGAGGGCGCCCAGCTTCCCCAAGAGAGGCCCGAGAAAAACAAAGATGGCTACAAGAGGCCCACCGAAGCTTTCTGACCTCATCATTGTCGGCGCCTGTGCTCCGCTATACCGTCGAAGCACGGCCACAAGAACGCCGACGCGGCGAAGAGCACCACGCATTTCCACTGGCTAGGCGACGCAACGCGGCAGTGGCTCGACTTCGGTTCGATGGCTTTGATTCGTAGGGCGCGGCGCCAAGTGAACGCAACGTGTAACTCGCAAGTTGTCCGGGAAGCAGACAGGGCCGACCCCAGCCGCCGATCATCGAATATCAGGAAATACACCAAACAAATCCGCCGGCCCCCTTATGGGGCCACCAGGCTGTAGGACGAGGGTTTGCTGTTCCCTGCGCCAGTTCCAGTTTCCAGTCCCCACTGTTTCAATTATGCTTCTTGTTGCTTGCTGTTCCTTGTTGTAAACCGCGCGAGGGGGGGGGGAGCCGAAAACCGCCCTTGCCAGCACCTCCCAGGAAGGGTCTCAAAATTTCTGGGGGGGCGAAATTCGCAAACCCTCACGCAGATCGGCGGGGTCAGGGTCGAAAACCAATGAGATGTCTTACATTTCTGAAATTCGGCGGAACCCCTCACGCAGATCGGCGAGATCAGGGTCGAAAAACAAATAGGATTTGCCACATATTTGAAATTCGGCGGCACCACTCACGCAGATCGACGGGGTCAGAATCAAAAAATCCATTGGATTTGCCACATGTTTTAAATCTGGCGGCACCCCTCACGCAGATCGGCGGGGTCAGGGTCGAAAAACAAATGAGATTTCCTACATTTCTGAAATTCGGCGGCACCCCTCATGCAGATCGGCGGGGTCAGGGTCCAAAATCCAATGGGATTTGCCACATTTCTCAAATTCGGCGGAACCCCTCACGCAGATCGGCAGGGTCAGGGTCGAAAAACAAATGGGATTTGCCACATGTTTGAAATTCGGCGGCACCACTCACGCAGATCGGCGGGGTCAGAATCAAAAAAAACATTGGATTTGCCACATGTTTTAAATCCGGCGGCGCCCCTGGCGCAGATCGGCGGGGTCAGGGTCCAAAAACCGATGGGACTTGCCACAGTTCAGAAATTCGGCGGCACCCTGCTCGCAGATCAGCTGGGTCAGGGTTGAGAAACCAATGGGATTTGCCACATGTCCGAAATTATGTGGGAAACCTCAGTGCACAGCACACGGAGGCAGGTTCAAAATGCAACACTGAGTTCAACAATAGCATCAGAATCTCAATTTCTCTTGCCGATGCTGCTTCACGACGGCACCGATGCCTCATGTTTTAGCTCTTGGATAGCCCATTATCCGAGAGAGGGGGCCAGCGGCAGGGGCGAAGCCCTTACGGATAAGAGGTGGCGGTTTGTATTTCTGATGTCGGTCAGCAATGAATGTCAGGCGGGATCCGCTGTTGTTGTTTTTTTTGTAAACTTCAGGCAGGGGAGCAGTTTGACGCGCAAAACTGTCCCTTGTAAAAAACATGGTGCGAGTCCGGGGAGGACCACTCCGACTGAAAAAGCAACATGCACCAGAGGTGGAGAATCCACAAGAATTACTCGTCAAAGATGAGAACTCTACTTCCTCTTCCCCCCCCCCCCAGTCGACGACGAAAACGTCCTACTCCTCCTCCTCCTCCTCCTCCTCCTCCTCCTCCTCCTCCTCCTCCTCCTCCTCCTCCTCCTCCTCCTCCCTCCTCCTCCTCCTCCTCCGTCTCCGCCGCCGCGGCCACACGCGCGTGCTCGGCCTCAGCGGCTGCAGCGCGCTCTTGCCCTGGACGTGCGAGGCGTCGCCCTCGGGCGCGCTTGCCGGCCCAGAGGCCGGCCGAGGCCCGGCCGCGCGCCGGCGTCGCGTTGCGGGGGGGCGGCTGGCGCTGCAGGCCGGAGGGCCCGAACGGCCTGCCCGAGGAGTGGAGGAGGAGGAGGAGGAGGAGGAGGAGGAGGAGGAGGAGGAGGAGCGCACTCGCCCGAGAGAAACGGCAAAGTAATTGGTCGACCCGACCCAATTACAATACCGACCCACCGTCCCCACAGTCCTGCGGCAGCATCTGCGACGGCTGCGTGCGGGCGGCGCTGGCCACCCGCACGCAGCCGTCGCAGATGCTGCCGCAGGACTGAGGAGGAGGAGGAGGAAGAGGAGGAGGAGGAGGAGGAGGAGGAGGGGTGACCAAGAGGAGGGGGGAGGATGCGCGAGAAGGAGGGGAGAAGAGGAGGCGGAGGGCGAGGAGGATACGACACGAAGGGATACGATGCGCGCACCGTTAGCGCCACGCTATCCATTGCTCAGTGAGAACTGCGTCCACTCTATCTTGAAAAAATAGCGCAGCGGTAGGCCCTTGTAATTTCACAAGGACTGACTGAAAAACTATTGGCGCGGTAAAAGGGGGAGGGGGATAAGGTGGGGGAGGAAGAGGACTAGAGTAAACCCAAGATGCATCAACGATGCTGCAACAATGTCGTCGTGCCACGAGAATGAGCGCTGAACAGGGAACGACATTGGTGTTTTCTGGCCACGGCGAGCCTCAGCCATGAATGGGTTCCCCGACGAGCCCCCTCCTGAGCCCAAAGTTGTCCTTATGTCAGCGTTTTGGTCGTACACCCTGCTGTCATCCCAAGCATCCTCCTCATGAGTCCCTACGAGACGAAATATTTTTTACTATAGGAAGCGCCCCTCGACAGAAGAGTGCCCGATGGGCCTGCAGCCCAGGCAAAAGCCCGTTACGAAAACAAGTCCACTGCTTCCCTCGAACGAAACATAAGAAATGCCGTAAGGTCCGACCAACAAATTCAACCAGATTTCCGGCGAGAATCTCCTTTGGAAAAGAATCCACCCCTGCCCGTGCAACTGTTGTGGGGGACCCGTAAAGACCTACTCGTACTATCTACCTCTGGTGGAGACGCACGTCCGACCAAAAACATCCAGTACGAAAATACTGAAATAGATCATTCCCCGAGCGATATGGCCAGAAAACGCCCGCCACCGAACAGAGATCATGAGATTCCTCAACGCTCGCGTCGTACCTGGGGTGCAAACGCACTCATAGTACTAGCATATATGGGTGATGCCATGTTGCCCAAGAGTGCACGTCTGGTCGTTAGAATCGAGGAGGTCTCGAGCGAAAACACCATTGTGAAAAGGGGCGGACCTCCATCCGTGCAGCTGTTACATACAAGCCTCGAACGAGAATCCCACCTTGAAAAGGAACCATCCCTATCGGTGCAACTGTTGCGTAAGATAACACGTATGGTCATTACTTCCATAGAAGTCTCAAGCGAGAGCACAATTGTGAAAAAGAGCCGCACTTCATCCGAACAGCGGATACTTTGCGCTTTCAAGAAATCATCCATTTTGAAAGCGCTCCGTCCTCCACCTCTGTGGCCGATGCAACTTACGACGACGGTGCGCGTCGTTAAAAAGGAAATCGGTAATTCCATGTTGAAAAGAAGACTGCCTCGAAAAACGGCTGCCACATGGTGAGCAATAATGTGGGCCATGCGAGAGCCGCGCTGTGAAAACGAACCAGCATCCGTTGGACCTGTTGCAAACTTGTTAGACGCATGTGTGCCCACTATGGCGAGACCCGCGTGTTGAAAACGAATGGCATTGCATTATTGGATATGTTGCAATACGTCCCCAAGACGAACGGTTTTTGCCTCCTGGGCCCCGAACAACGATATGCAGTCTTGAGCAGATACGTATGAGATAGCCGCCGTCGGATCCAATTATTTTCGCGTGGATCCAATGTTGGTTTTGGTTTATGTGCCGGTGGATCCGGGTTCTGTCGGCGCAGATCCGATTTCGGATTTTCTGGATCCGCGTCTGGTCAAACTGCTACGGCGGAGCAAACTTCTACCCCACTTTAAATCGATATTTTCAAAGTACAACGGGAAGACGGGAGAAATCGGATCCGAGGACTCCACGACCCGCCCGTGCTCAGATTCTATGGGGGAGGGGAGTTCGGTCATCAATTTCCCAAAATGGGTCCTGCGCTGTCTCGCCCACTCCCATCAACTTTCCGCGAGCGCAGGTCCCACTCAACATGAATACGTACTTCTTCTCCTGGTTGCTGCGCGCAGCTCGTCCAGACGCCGTCCGTTCGGCGGCGCCGACGCTCTCGAGACCTCCTCATCGCCACTTTCACCTCAGGGGGACAATCTTTCGTCCTGCGTAAATGCGTTTCGGCCCTGCGTCTCCTGCCTCAGGACGTCCCGAACGGAACCCCCAGTCAAAGCAAGAGTTCGTTTCTCTTCTTTTGCCATGACGTCTCGAAGGGGAACTCCTGACTGCACGACGGGGGGATGCTGGTGTCGGTTACGTGGCAACCAACAATTCCGAAGGACAAAACGCCAAATGCGGTTCGGCCCTGCGTCTCCTGACGCAGGACGTCTCGAACGGGTCATCCAGTTCTTTTTTCTTTTTGTTGCGAGGACGTTTCGGACAGGAACTCCTGAGTGCACGTGGCAGGGAAATTCTGGTGAAATGTGGTGTGCTGGCTACGTGGTAGCCAACAAGTCCGAAGGCCAAACCGCCCATGCGTTTCGGCCATGCGTCTCCTGACGCAGGACGTCTCGAACGGGACCTCCTGTCAAAAACACGATTTCCCTTCTTCTGTCGTTGTTTGTTTGCGGGGGCGTCTCGAACGGGAACTCCTGACTGCAGGCGGCAAGGGACATCTGCTGAAATGGGGTATGTCGGCTGGGTGGTAACCGACAAGCGTTTCGGCCCTGCGTCTCCTGACTCAGGACGGTTCGAACGGGCCATCCAGTCAAAGGCACGATTTCCCATTTTCTTGTTGGTACGAAAACGCCCCGAACGGGAACTCCTGACTGCACGTGGCGGGGGAATTCCGGTGATATGTGGTGTGTCGAAAACGTGGCAGCCAACAAGTCCGAAGGTCAATCCGCCCATGCGTTTCGGCCTTGCGTTTCCTGACGCAGGACGTCTCGAACGGGTCTCCACGGCGGATCCGAATTAAGTTTTAACGGAAAACCTAAGAAATCGGACCTGCGGACCCCGCGACCCGCCCGTGTTAAGATTCTACGGGGGACAGGGGGTTCGTAATCGACTGCCCAAGAGGGGACCTGCGCTGTCTCGGCCACTACCATCAACGTTCCGCGCGCGCGCGGGCCAGTCTCAACATGAATACGTCGTTATCCTCCTGGTTGCTGCGCGCAGATCGTCCAAACGCCGTCCGTTCGGCGGCGCCGATGTTATCTCGCGAACTCCTCATCGCAATTTTCACCTCAGGAGGAAAATCCTTCGTCCTTCGTAGCTAATGTTGCGACGAATGTGCGACCTTGTGCGTTAAGGCGAGCGCCGCGTTTTGAAAATGACAGTCCCTCCTTCATTCAAGCTGCTGGAGCTCTGTGGCACCAGGGCAGCAAATTGCGAAGAATTCTCAAGCGGAACGCCCAGCCCTGCCTAATTACGGACACGTCTGGGAGTGCGGCAGGGGAAAGCCACTTATAAGGAAGAGGGATAGAGGGGAAGGGGGGAGGAGGGAGGGAAGACCCAGGACACCACCTCAATTGCCCCAAGACCGTTCAAGCCCCCGAGAAGCCCACGCAACGGCCCAGAACTGGCCCCCAGGACGGCCCCAGGGATCCTCCTGCCGCTGCCCCGACGGACCCCCCAAGATGGCCAACGTGATCTCCACGGTAACCCATGTTGGGTCAGATTTGGATAAGCCCAAAGAAAATTGGTCAACGGGGGGGAGGATGAAAGCAAATTCGCTCAAAAACAATCTCCAGAACCCTCCTGGGTCGAAACTTACCAGTTCTTCGAGCCGAGACCAGCCGTGGCGACGAGGGGAGCCCTTTATCCCCATTTTCTGCTGGCCAGAACCAATGCTGGGCCACCTCAGCCCTCGACCGACTCCAAGCCCCAGGAGGTTCCGACGAGGCCCCGAAGCGCTCACCACGAGAGGCAGCGCCGCAACTCGCTATGACGCCGCGGCCGCGCTACGCTGCAGCGCCTTCCCGCCGGCTCCAACCAGCGCGGCGGTGGACGTGCGAAGCAGCGCGGTTGAGCAACGACCAACGACAGCAGAAGACCGGAGCCAACGACGGAACGCAATCAGGAGCACCTCATGGCCATCGAGAGGGCGAGAGAAAGGAGCGAGGAACAAAAAAGCAAAGCAATCAAACTCCCCCAAAACAAGACACAGAGCCACAGGCCGATGCCAGCAGCGGCAGCAGCGCGAGTGCTGCGCGATGCTGTCAGAACCGCGAGAGGGTAGGCGACGGGCAGCGTTGCCACCCACTGGCTGACACAGCCGACGGGGGGGGGGTGAGAATCAGCTCACGTATAGCTGATGTTCCCGGCGCCTCCCGGCGCCGGAAGCGGCTATGTATCGAGGAATGGGCCCATCGGTGAGGCCGAAACCAGCTGCATGCAGCAAATTTCGTAACCCCCCCTTTCCCAATCCCCCCTTTTCGTCCGGCCCGAGGCACGACTAGACGGGATCCGGCGCCCAGCGATGACACCCCTGACCCGGCCGCCGCCCGAGCCTGCTCCGGGCAGTGAGCGCTGGCGGCGGGCGGCAGCAGCGTGCCGATGGCAAAGGTGGCCGCCGCCGGGTTGTTGACGGGCACCATGTGACCCGCCCCGTCCACCTGGAGGGCTGGGGGGGCAGGAGAGCCCAGAATCGAATCGACAAGTCGGATCGGCGGTCGACATGAATCGGATCGGCGGAAATCGGCAGCCGAGCCGGGAAAAGTCGAATCGGCGGACATCGGCAGGCCAGTCTGCCTCCAGTGAGCAATCGGAGCCCGAATCGGAATTCCAAGCCGAATCGAATCGGAAACGGGAGCCATCGAAGACGAACCGAATCGAATCCGAGGAATCGAAACGAGCCCTGGGAGGGGCAAGAAGGCACCGACACCTCAGCGGGCCCTGGAAAGGGCAGGGCCGTTCTGTTACCGTTTTCTGAAAACTACCTATTTGAGCGTGGAAAGGTGGGAGAAAACAAGGCTCACCGAAAATATCAACAACAACAAAAACGATTCACCAAAGCGTCCTGGGCAGTCTGGGGATGACGTTCGGGACCGGTTCGGAAATTGCTCGGATCCGGCAAAGAACTGCAAGCTGGACCAGGCCTTCACTAAAGTGTAAAACAATGGCGCCATAAGCATCAAAATGCACAAGACATAGATCCAACAGAAAAGGAAAACGAACACTATAGCAAAAACTGCCCTGTCGCTTGCAGGACCTATCAAGACCGGCACCGAAACAGTAGACACATACGAAACTACATCTCGACATGAGAGGCCTTCAGGCATATTCTTCAACGACCTCCAGGGATCCTACGGTCAGGAACTCCTGCATGGAGTGTCGCGGCGGCGGCTCCGGCGGCACGCTATGCCCTGCAAGCGGATAGCGGGTCGCTCTGCTCTGCGGGGCGGGAAGCTGGGAACAGCTCGGGACGTTGACGCATGGGAATGGGGACGTGGATCACGTATCGCGTGAAAGAGTGGTGGGCCAGAGCGCGTGCACACGCCGAGGCAGAGGAAGAGGGGCAAGCGAGAGAGTAGCAGGGAGGAGGGAGAACGATGAGGAGGAACGAGGACGAGAGAGGAGAGGAGGGAAGGAGGGCGCGACAGGAAGATAGGGGCGAGAGAGAGGGGAGAAACGGGGCGGAAGGGGCGGACGAGGAAGAGGGGCGAGCGAGAAACAAATGAAATGGGGGAGAGGGGGGAGAGCGGCGGGCCGGGAGGCTTCCGCCGGAGGCTTCCTCCGCTGGCGGCAGCCGATGTGTATGTGTTGTGTGTTGCGTGTTGTGTGTATGTGTGTATGTGCGCGCGTGCTTGCATTCTTTCATAGCTGTTTTGTCATAGCAATCCCTCTTGGTACTGAAGCCTGCTCCACAGGCAGGCATCTCTGAGAACGCCAGAGCATAGACCAGCACTGTCGTCATCCGCCGCCCGCCTTGCCTTTGTCATGAACAAATGCTTTGAAACAGCGCCCGGTTGCTGCTAGACGGGGCGCCCAAGCTGAATCAAAAACATCATTGGCACCATGCTGGTTTGATCTCGCGCGGCACTGCAATCGCATTTTTCCCTGCAGCCAAATCTCTCAAAGGACACGCTGGGTCTCGGGAGCGAAGTACGGTATGCAAGCGACGCTGTGCTGCCATGCGCTGGCAGGCTTCTGGACAGAACATTCGAAAACAAAAAAAAATAGCCTGTCGGATACACAATTCCTCCTGTTGGTTTGGGAGTTGGTCCACGCTGATTTGGAAAATGTGTTCACCACGATGTTTGCAACGGTGTGGAGGCCTGACGAGACGCCAAGCTGCACCGCTCTCGCAGCCTTCATAACGTAGGTCGGGTTCTAACGATGCACGGGATGATGAATAATATATGTCCTGCAAGGGCACAGTCTACATCCATAGCGACCATCGTAGATGCAAACTTGCGAACATCCATGTCCTCTTGACTTACACGCACGCACACACACACATTTGGCCAACAACCTCCTGGACCCTTGAACAGCATATTCTGACTTTTACTGAATGGGTTCCGCAACTTACTGCTTCCCTCAAAGGTATCCCTCGGACGCCCGCGACGCATGCTATCGATCGCTCGGTGATGGCAACTCCCTGGCAAACATCACGCATGTGGCCCTCACTGGATTATATTCTCCGGTTCAAGCATATCAGCCAGCATTTTTCTTGACAGCGACAATCGGTGTAAGATCTTTTCGCTCTCGAATCCTGATGTGCCAAAGCGGCTGCAGTACAGAGATGCTTGGAAAAAGAAAGAGGCGGGGGGGGGGGGAATCCGTACAAAACAGCCGTTATGTACGTAATGTCCACTTTGGGTTTTCTGGCTTTCGAGGGATATGTAGGAGAGGCACAGAAGGGCGTCTGGGGCAACATATCTCGACGCACCCTCGACGCACCCCTCGAGCCTCTTGCCATGGGCGCGCGCGCAGCCAGGCAGGCGCTAGCCACGGCGCCCGAAGCAGAATGCACACGCTCCACGGCTCACGAGACGGCGCCTCCGCGACCTCAGCCCGCGGCAGGTGTCGTCGGTGTGGACCGCGTTCTCGTCGCTGTCCGTCTGGTGCAGCACGCGCGCCCCCGGGCCCAGTCCCTGGGGGCACACCAGGCACCCGCCCCTCGTCGCCAGGCGGTTGGTCCAGTTGCGCGAGGCCTGGCAGTTCGGGCTCCGATGGATCGCAGCACCGCCCACATCCAGGTGGCAAAGCAGCACGGCCCTGCCACGGCCACGACTTGGAGCGCCCAGGAGCGGCTCCGTCGCCTCACGACCGGGAGCGTTCGAAACGGGAGGCGGCTCGAACTCCGGCTCCAATCGGTCTGTCGTGGAGCCCTTGCCAGGCTTCCCCTTGGAGCAGCCCTTGCCTGTCTGGCCAGCCGCCGATCTCCGATGGCACCAGCGCCAGCAGCAACAGCTCAGCAACGCGCCCATGAGCACGCAGATGGCGGACCAGGCCACGATGATCACCGCGCGCAGGTCCAGCCCGCCAGCGGGCGCATCTGGTTGAGCCCTCGCGCCATTCACCGGGGCCGCGAACGCCGCCAGGCACCCAGCGCCTCTCGACCGACGCACTTACGGCTGCCACGATGCCAGCGCCGAAGGCGTCGAAAGAGACCAGGCCGAGCATGGCGCGGCACTTCTCTAGCGCAGCCTTCCCAGGGAACTTCGCCCCGACGTCGGGGAGGTTCTCCGCGCCCTTCACCTTCGGCCCCGGACCCCCCCCCCCAGGAGACATCGAGGTCCCCAGCGGCGGGCAGCGCCGCCAGCGCCAGCGGCGCCCCTTGAGGGGCGCGGAGGGCACGGCGAAGGAAGGAGTCTGGAAGAGGCAGGAAGGTCGAACGACGAGAGAAGGTCTCATTTCTTCAGCGGACATGGCACGCTTGCAGACAGGCTGTTACAGACGGGAAACTCTCGCTGTTGGAGGCTTAGAGCCAGGGCACCGTGCTGCCACGGACGCGTCGAAACGCAGAACCCACTGCTGCGGCGCGTGGTAGAGCCGTTGGCGGCGCCCGTCGAATCCTGCTTCTTCTCCTGGGCGGCGCAGTACGCAAGCCCGCTGCACCAGTCGGGGCGTCTCTTTGGAGTGCTTCTTGAAGAACTTCCAGAGCTCCTCAGGCTCCGGGTAATAGATACCGCACCCACTCGGTGCCTTGGCAAGGGCTCGCAGAATGAGGGGCAATGTAGGGGGATCTTCCTGGAGAGCCGCTGTTGCAGCCACATGTAAGCCTTGCTTCGAGCTCCGAAGCTTATCCGTGCACTGGATGCCTTCTGGGGCGTCCTGCTGCGCGTAGGAATTGGGAGTTGTATAGAAAGCTCCCGTAAACGCTGCCGCAGTCTGGGCGGCGATGCCGTTGTCTGCGTCGGCTGTGGGAGCCAAGACTACGTTCCCCTTCCCCCGCGCTGCATTGCTGTCCTGCTTGGCCAGGTGGGCCAGGAAGTCCACGGGGTCGTGAACCAACTTGAATTGCAGGCGCTGCGCCTTGCGGCGGGCTTCCGCGCCCCCCATGCGAACTAGCATGATGCCAAGGGGGCGCGCGGGGGCCAGGTAAGCGCCGCGGCCCGCAGGGCCTGGCGCGGCACTGCGCAAGACCTTCTTCCCCCGCGCACCCCTTGCCTTGGCGGCGGCCTTCGCTCCTCCAAGATTGCGCTCTCGCGCCCTGGCCGCCCGCTTGGCGACAGGATCGACGACTGTTGCAGACGGGCGGACTGCATCTGCGACGCTCGCCCGGGCCGCCCCCTGCGCCGCCGCAGCGACATCGGGGGCGGCCCCCGCGAGAAGGCGAGCGCGCTTGCTCGGGGAAGCGGCCGCCATGGCGTCGATGGCAGCTGCTCGCTCGCGGCCGAAGCCAACCTCTGACCGGCCTGGCCGAGGCTCCCTCGCGATTCCCTTGTCGCGCCTCTCGGCTCCCCTCACCGCCGCGGTCTTTCCCTTTAAGCGCTCGCGTAGCTGGAGCGCGTGCCTGCGCCGACGCCTGCCAGGCTCGCACCGCTCGCGCTGTTCCAGCCACGAGCGCGGCAACTTGCCGGGGGGTGCTGCGCCCAGCGCAGTCCTCCACGGACACGTCGAGCATTCGAGCCCTCTCGGGGCAATGGAGTTCGGAGAAACGGCGGAATCGCCGCCCCACGTTGCCCGCGGACGTCTTCCACGCGAGGAAGAGCTCCACCGGCCGCCGGCTGCTGGCACACTCAGGCCACTCCGTTGCATCGCGGCCCCAAGCTTACCGCGCGGTGCCCCTGCCTCGACGATGTATCTCGGCGCCCTTCAAGATGCACCGCAGCCGGGCGATGGCTTGCCGCTCAGGGAGGCCTGCCCCATTACAGACGCGCATCAAACGCGCCGCGGCTTCAGACGCAGACCCCGTTGCGCCCGCGTCTGTTGCAGACAAGGGGGAAGGCAGACAAAACGCCGTAAAAACCATGCAACCAAGAATGGTCTGGCCGATGCAGCTTCATGTTCTCCTCCGCGCTCGGTTTCCCTGGCTCGGGGCTCCGTGACCCAATCGCCGATGCCCACAATTTGCACGCCGTTGCCGCATGGGCGCCTGGAAATCTGCCGCGAAAGCTGGAAGGCGACGCCCGTGAATCTGCAGGGGGCGCCACAAGTCGCCCCGTCGATGAACGA